TGGCCAACCACGCTTCAGCGCGACACGCTGTCCACGTCTTGGTCTTTAAGCGTCAACGTCCCGAGCTTTTCCCAGCTTCCCGCCCCGCGGAGCGCAACGACACGCCGTCCGCTTGCAGGGCACAGCGTGTCGCAAGGACCGCCACTGCGGCACGCTAAGCAACAGCTTCCGACCGTAGTCGCCACTGCCCGACGCGGAAGAGGGCGCCTGCAGACTTGCTGGGAGCCCAGAGCCCTTGACGTCGTGAGGAGTCACGAAAGACGCTCTCGTTGGTTTCGGCCAGCTTCGAACCCAGGGCCGTTCATGTGCATCGCCCAGCTCGTAGCGTGCCGCGCCACGACAGGATCGGGAGCTCCCGCGGTCCTGATCTTCGCGGCGTCGTGCTTCTCCCCGACCTTGCGGAGGGGGCCCCGCTCAGTGCCCCCGGGGGCCCATGGGGTGCGGGGCTGCTGGGGGGGGGTGCGGGGGGGGGGGGGCGACACCCGCCCGTCGGCACATGCGGAGCGCCGGCGGAGCTCCAGACGCATGGCGTAGCCACACCGGCCCATGCAGAAGCCACGCCCAGGCGAGCTGCCCTGAGCAGGGGTGTGGGCAGGAGCATGCAGTGGAGGTGATGAGGGAGTCACCATGCCCGAAGAGGGGGAGGCTGCCATACCCCATGTGCAGGGCTGGGGAAGCCGCTATACCCCAAGAGGGGGAGGCTAGAGAAGAAATCGGACGAGGAGGACGAGGAGGAGGAGGCGGATGGGAAGGGGGAGGGGGAGGAAGGAGGAGGGACCAGTGTAAACTCAAGGCTCATCAAAGATGTTGGAATCAACCCTCCCTCCAATCTCCCCCTTCATGGGCCCCTAGAAGGGTTCATTTCCACTGAGGAAAGTGCCCCGTTGGGAGACAACCATTTGAAGATACTGAAGAGTGCCAAAACACAATCCTCGGGATTCCAACGCCACGAATCAACCCGATTGTCGCGTCTCGACGATCCTGAATCGTGCCAGAACACCTTTCCTGCAACTTCAACACCGCGGATCAACGTAACTGTTGCGCTCTGACAGTCCTGAATCGCTCCGAAATGCAATTCCTGGTAAGTTGACCATAAGAATCCGTGAAACTCTTGCACATGTTTAAGACGAGTGTGCGCGGCGCGAAGGCGAGAGCCACATGTTTGAAAGGAACCGCCGCCCTCAATACGTGAATCTTTTCGATTTGTTTCAGACGAGTGTGCGCGGCGCTAAGGCGAGATCCTTCTTTTGAAAGCGACCCGCCCTCAATCTGTGAAATGCAAATTCTAACACGAATGTGCGCGGCGCTCAGGCGAGAGCCATATTTTGAAAACGACCCGCCCTCAATCCCTGATGTGCATTCAATAAAAAACGATTGTGCGCGGCGCTCAGGTGGGAGCCACGTTTTGAAAACGACCCGCCCTCAAGCCGTGAAACCTCTCGATTTTTTTAAAGACGAGTGTGCGCGGCGCTAAGGCGAGAGCTACATTTTGAAAACTGCCCGCCCTCCATCTGCGAAGCTGTTGCCTCTTTTTAAGCTTCTGGATCATAGATGGTAAGGCAGTCTCAGGCGAAGCGCCCGGCCCGCCCTTCCGACTGGCCTCGGGGTGCGACAGGGAGAATATGTACATGAAGACATGGAATGGAGGCATGAGGCAGGAGGGAGGAGGAGGAACAGGTGGATGAGGAGAATGAGGATGAGGATGAGGATGAGGATGAGGATGAGGATGATGATGATGATGATGATGATGATGATGATGATGATGATGATGATACTGATGATGATGATGATGATGATGATGATGATACTGATGATGATGATGATGATGATGATGATGATGATACTGATGATGATGATGATGATGATGATGATACTGATGATGATGATGATGATGATGATGATGATGATGATGATGATGACTTGATGATGATGAGATGATGATGATGATGATGATGATACTGATGATGATGATGATGATGATGATGATGATGATGATGATGATGATGATGATGAGATGATGATGCTGATGATGATGATGATGATGATGATGATGATGATGATGATGATGATGATGATGATGATGATGATGATGATGATGATACTGATGGATGATGAATGATGATGGATGATGATACGATGATGATGATGATGAGATGATGATGATGTGATGATGATGATGATGATGATGATGATGATGATGATGATGATGATGATACTGATGATGATGATGATGATGATGATGATGATGATGATGATGATGATGATGATGATGATGATGATGATGATGATGATGATGATGATGATGATGATGATGATGATGATGAGATGATGATGATGATGATGATGATGGATGATGATGAGGAGGAGGAGGAGGAGGAGGAGGAGGAGGAGGAGGAGGAGGAGGAGGAGGAGGAGGGGAGGATTGAGGAGGAGGAGGAGGAGGAGGAGGAGGAGGGAGGAGGAGGAGGAGGAGGAGGAGGAGGAGGAGGAGCAGGCAGGTGGGTGTCTGCTGGCACTGGCAGGGGGGGGGGACCCCCGAAGCCCGCCCGCCGGCACGCGCGGAGCGCCTCTGCATGCGCCGCGGCGGAAGCCCGGCCTCTCCGGCCGGCGCCCGGCGCTCGGAGGGCCCGGGAGGCTGGCGGCCCAGCAGAGGGGGCCGAGGGAGTCCCAGATGCGGGGGACGAGGTGCGCGCCCATCCGCCGCTCCCTGGCCGGGCCCCTCCTGGGCCCAGGAGTTCTGCATTACGCCCTTCTGGCCAAGCCGGGAGGGCGTGGCGCACACGCTGCTGCCAGGCTGGGGATGGGCCCGGCCAGGGAGCAGCAGATTTGTTTACCTGCGTCGACCTAGGCCTCCCAAGTGGGGTCGAAGGATCGCACCGCATCGCCGATGTATCGCCGATGCATCGCCGATGCGGCTCGATGTGGGGCTCGATTTTCTCCGTGTCGACGTTGCCGATGCATCGCTGACGTCGCCGATGCATCGCCGGTATATCGGCGATGCATCGTCGATGCGGCGAGATCCCCCGACCCATTTACTCCGACCCCATCTGGGCGGCCTCCACTCGAGAAGCCCGCAAGAGGCCCTCCTAGAGGATTCCCAGAGAGCCTGAAGCCCCGTAGGTGGTCTAAGTCTACTCCCAAGATCCCAAGATGACCGAAAGGAGCCTCATGAGCACTCCATGGGGCCTGGCACGTAGCTCCCGAAGCAGCTCAAGATAGTGAAACACATAAGCACGTCTCGGTGAACGTCCAGAGGGCCCCGAAGGCCCACAGAAAGCCGAAACGAGGCCCAAAGAGGCCCCCTGGAGGGCAGAAGAGCTTCCAAGACGACCCCAGGACGGCTCCCAGAAGCCCCAACAGGCCCCCAGGGCCCCGAGAGGCTCTGCGAGGCTCCCAAGAAGGGCCCCCACAACGCCCCAAGAGGCCCCCGCGAGATCCTAAGGATGCCCCCAACGGGCCTTCAGGAGCGCCGCAAAACGGCCAACGAGGTTCCCAAATGCCCCTAGAGTGCCCCCAGAGGTGGTTCGCTCCACAGACTTATACATACGGGAACCAACGCGAGGCTTCCCTTTCCCCTCTCCTCCCTCTCTTCGTTTCTCCGCCCTCCTTCCCTCTCCCTGCTCTCTCGTCCTCCCCTCCTGGTTCGTGCCCCTTCCTCGTCACTCCTGCTCCTGCCCTCCTTCATCCTCGCGCTTCTCAGTTCTGCCGTTCCTACCCCCCCTCTCCCTCCATCCTGGTCCTCCGAACAGCAGATGGCCCCGACAAGGCCTCAAGAGGGAAACGGGCAGCACGGCAACTCACATGGGGCCCGCTGCTTGCATCCCCATTCTTACCCTTCTCTTTCTCGCAAGCCATGCCCACCTGTGCTCCAAGTCCAGGATTCGTAGCTTTGCCAGGTTTTCACGATGCAGGGCGTATTGGTGATTCGATTCGATCCGATACCCGGGAGGCTCCCGCCATTCCGCCGATCTCCAGAAGAAGACACAGATCCACGGGCGAGGCCTTTTGAGTGGACCGTTCAGGGCCTCCGGGGGCTCCCTTTCTGGCCTCTTGGGAGCCTCTGGGTGCCTCTGGGAGATCTCTTTGGGCGCCCGCTGGCGGTCTCGGGGGTCCTCTTGGGGCGGAGGGCCCGACGTGTCAGTTTGAAATGGCCCCCGCTTGGGACCCTCCTGGGGCCCTCTTGGGCTGTCTTGGGCTCCTCTTGAGCCGTCTTGGGACCCTCCTGGGCTGTCTTGGGGGCTTATTGGGCCGTCTTGGAGCGATCTTGGGGACCTCTGGGGCCGTCTGGACCAATTTAGCACCACAAAGGCGACTCTGCTAAACACGTGTGTTTTACAGAGAGATTGTAACGATTGTTTCTTTGGGGGGTCCTCTCCGGGGTCTTCTTGGAGCCCTCCTGGGCCGTCATGGAGGCCTTTTGGGCCGTCTTGAGGCCATCTTTGGTGTTTTTGAGGCTTCCTCGGCGTGTTGGAGGCCAGCTTGAGCCAGCTCAAAATCCATTCTGGTCATCTTGGAGGCCACGGAGTGACGATTTGGAGGCTCTGGAGGCTAAGGGATGCGTTGGCGAGCTTTTACCCCACGGCCCCCCCCCCCCTGGGACTCCCCCCCCGGGTTCCCCCCCTCAAATGCGATTTCGGACCCTGGGGGAGGGGGAAGGGTCGACTTCTCCGCCTCCGACAGTCGATGCCGATGTTCAGCTCGACGCTGCAACATCGATGATGCCCCCGACGCCCGTGCTGAAACGCAACACGTGCCGTGTTCAAAACGTCCGTGGTGACACGCTGCGTGTTGGCTCGGCACGTGTTAGTCCACGTGTTGGCGAACGCATCGCGCCAGGCCTAAGTTTTCAGCCTGCGTTTTGAGCTCCGTGTGTGTTGCGTTTCGGGGCAGCTGAGCGCTGGGCCCCGTGCCCTCTGGATCCCTGGCCTCTTGTGCCGCCTCCCTGCCGCCCTCAGAAAGGAGCCCTGCTGCCTCCCGGAGGCCCTCTCGCCCTCCGCGCCATGCCCCCCCTGCGGGCACGGGCGGGTCTCCCGGAGCAGCGCGCACGACTCCCGCGCTCTCATGGCGCCCGGCCCTGTCAGTCGAAAAGGCGTGTGACCGGAAACGATCGTCGACTAGACGTGCGAGTGGCCTTTCGCCAGAGTGGCCTTTGGTGCGGGCCCGTGCGCCGAACGCGATGCGATAGCAGCGTCGTGCGCGCCGGTGTTTGGTCCCCCCGCGGCCCCCCAAAAGCCGCGCACCAAAGGCCACTCTTACGCAGGGTCACCCTTGAAGTGTAGCCGAGATCGGTGACCGAAGACGTGCCTCCGAAAACGCAGTGCGACCGAAAGTGTGACCGAAGTTGAGCATCGTATGGGTTTCGAGCCAATGGGTTTCGAGCCAAACAGTGTCGGTCACGCTGGGGCACAGTCGGACCTCGTGCGTAGGTTTTTCGGCCACTCTCGGGCAGATTTTCGAGCACGGTTTTCGTCACAGCTTCCCCCCGATACAGACGAGGCCACGTGAGCGTTGCTTTCGCTTCGCTTCCCTCCGCTTCTTGCCTCCAGTCGCGACCACAGCCGCTCTGGCACTCGAGAGCGGCACCGCGGCGCACCAGCGACGCGCGCGGGTGCGCGCGCGGGCTCGCTCGCCCTCGCGCACTCCCGACCGCCTTCGCGGGCCAGCTCCCTCCCAATGCGCCGATGACGGCGGGGCGCCGCGCCATCCCATGCCGCCGCCGCAGGTCGGCGGCGAGCTCCGAAGCCCACCCTCGCCGATCAGCGACTCAGGCAACTCGCTGGGCGATGGGGGTAGCGTGCGGAACTCGTCGCGCACGTGGCGGAATTCCGAACCCTACCCGCGCCTCCCATCGATTCGGGAGAGTGGATGGTTGGCGGGGGCACAGTCGAGATGGATGCAGGTACCCCTGCATCCTTGCCTCTTCGGCCCCTCTCTACGCACTCGCGATGGCCAGCCCCGCTCGAAGAGCTTCGACATGGGCGTCCAGGGGGCTCGCACCCTTCTTGCGCATCCTCACCCGGCGTTCGGGTGGCCGCCGCCGCAGGGCCAGGGCGGCCGCGGCGGCGGGGGCGGCCTCCTCTGGAGGGTGTGCCGGCTGCTCCTGCTGACGGCGGTGCCCCTCGCGGGGGCGGCGGGCCTGCTGCAGGCCGACCCGCTGTGCCTGCTGGCCGTGGTCGTCGCGTCCAGCGTGGCCATGCTCCTCGAGCTCACCGGGCTGCTGAGGTCGACGCGGGTCGGCCCCGCGCAGAGGGGGGCCAGGGGGGGAGGGGGGGGAGGCTTCTCAGAGGCACTCCTGCGTCTGAGGAGGCGCGGGCCCTGTCTGTAGATGTAGGGCCGGCCCGGCGCCTTGGAAGGAGCGGCCTCCTCCTGAGAAGCCTTCCCCCCTCCCCCTACTCCTTTGTGCGCGCCGCCAAGTGGAGCCAGTGTCGGTACGGTCGGAGTGGGTACAGTCAAGAGGCTGAGATGAGGACCGCTTTGGGTTCGGAAGGGGCTCGCTGTTCCTGTGGGTCATTCCCTGGTTGTTCCTCTGGCCCTCCTCGTGCACCCAGGTTCTTGTGGCGCCAAAAAGGGCCTCGTTCCATATCTTATTCAGCACTCCTTGTCGCAGCAGCCTGGCTGCACGTGGAGAGCGGGGACGAAGCCGACAGCAGCTGTCCGTTTTGAGCAGGACCCGCTGTCGGCATCGCCGCAGGCGTCATGCCACGCGAGACAAAAAACGTCGCCTGCCCAACGGCAGCCGCTGTCGGATTTGGACGACACTTGCTGTTGGGCGTTGTATCGGGGGGAAAACACACAGACACAAGTCATCGTCGATTCCCCGAACAGAACATATAGGAAGTGTGGGGGGGGGGGGGGACGACACAACTCAAGAACATATATATTGGAAAGTACGGGGAATCCTGGCATTTTTTTACGCGTCCCTGGGCGCCTCCACTTGCACCTTTTTTCTCCGTGCCCCGTTCGGGCGTCCAAGAAGCGGGTCCCGAGGGAAGCGGGCCTGCAGAGGCTCCTCCGCGCCCTCGGGCCCTCGGGGCCCTCCGCCTGCCTCGGGGACTCTATTTGCCACGCTCTCTCGGGCCCTCGGGGCCCTCCGCGGGCCTCGGGGTCGTCAGGAGACGCCTCAGGACGGCGAGCTGGTCCCGTGGGAAAGCCCCGGGGGTCCAGGACCCGCTTCCCTCGGGGCCCGTTCCCAGACCTCCGACGTCTTGACCTTTCCAAGGCGGCATCCCTGGGAGTCCCGACCCTTTCCCCTGGGGCCGCCTTGCTTCGCATCCCGAGTCGTTCTTTGACAGCCCCAGGGCCCGGCGAGGGCCCCCGGAGGCCGGAAAACTACGGAAATGTTTCGCACCTTGAGATACGAGGTTGCGAAACAAGTGAGGTGTTCCAGAAGGGGCCTTGCCTTCGAGGATCGAAGGAGTTGTCATCTCTTCCTTGGCGGAAGGCGGCGGAAGGGCGGCGGAAGGTTGGCGGAGGCAAAACCAGGCCGCCTCCTCCAGCGGAAGCCAGCGGAAGGGCGGCGGAAGGTGGCGGCAGTGAACAATAAAATGCCCCCAAGAGATGACAACAATTTTGGGTTCAGGGTTTCTGGAATCCGCCAAGTGCAACATCGCGAACAAGCGCGACCGGAGCCTGAGACCCCATCTTTCTGCGGCCAGTCTTCGAGCTGGATCGATCTGTATTGGTCCCAGGGCCAGAAGCCGGGCGGAAACGCCTGGCGTGACAAATTTACAACGCTTGGATCGGATGGTATTGTATTTTTCAAAACGTTGGAGGCTTGGGCCCCCTTCCTGCTCAATGAGGGCGGTCGGCGTGCCCTTCCCCTGCGTGCTCGGGCTGCTCTACTTGCTGCAGCTCTGGGTGCTGCCGCCCAGTCGGCTCGCCAGCAACAGGAGACCAGCAAGAGCGGCGCGAGGGCGAGAGCTCTCGGGGGCCCCGGCTGCCTGGCTCACCCCCAAGCCTCCAACGCATGGAAAGCATCGAGCGGAGGTTTGTTGCCATGTTTGGCCCTGGGGGCCCTCGCTGGGCCCCAGGACAGCCAAGGAACGATCCAGGATGATGATCTGGGCGCAGTGAAGGCAACTGAAGGCCGCTCATACTGCTGAAGGCATGTAAACACTACCAAAGACTGCTGTTCCGAGGCCGGATATGTTAGGGTGAGCTTCCTAAAAGGCTTACCTAAGACCTGTGGTCCAGAGCTCTGGGGGCCCCGTATCAAAAAATCGAGGCATCGGAGGGCTGGGCCGCTCCCCCCGCGGCCCTTTCCTGGCGCGCGGAGCGCGCGGGGGGCGTGGGGACCTAGCGCCGACCCAAGAACATCTGCACTCACCACCCACCAAACCACCCCAACCCAACCCGAAGGCTCAGATTTACCCTCGATTTCCAGTGGGGGGGGGGTCGGGAAACATCGAAAAAACACATGTGGAACCCTTACCCCCCCCAACCCGAAATTCGGGTCTTCGGGTTGGGTTGGGGTGGTCTGGTAGGTGGTCATGCACTGACCTTCGAGAGCTCATGCTTCCCAGGCCCCCGACGTCATGATTTTTTCACGACGTCGACCTCCAGAGGTCTCGACCCATTCTCCGGGACGCGCTTTTCATCCCGAGTGCCTTTTTTTCACGGCTCCAGGGCCCGACGCCGAAAACAGCAGAGCATTCCTCGCCGTTTTTTTTTTTTTTTTTTTTTTTTTTTTTTTGTTTTTTTTTCCATGTCTCGAGGGGGGTTTGGCTCTTGCGCAGCCCTCCTGGCCTCCTCGCAGCCGCGAGGTCGGCCCGCCCTGGCCGTGGCCGCACGAGCCCACCGTCGCCCGCGCTCCGCGGCTGGCTCTGAGGGGGGGCCGGGCGGCCACGTCGCGGGCCGCGGCGGCGCCTCCATGCTTCGAGTAGGAGATCCCTCCTCCTCCTCCTCCTCCTCCCCCCTCCTCCTCCTCCCCCTCTTCCTCCTCCTCCTCCTGCCTCCTCCTCATCCTCCTCCTCCTTTTCCTTTTCTCCTCCTCCTCCTGGCTAACCTGACGTGCTTACCCCAGGATTGACCACGCCGTCAAGCTTAGAGCAACTGCGTAGAGCGTCCGTAGCCGTAGATTCGACAAGCATTCTGCGTATTCGTCCGTGGAGCCGACGAACAAAATACGATTTTGGGGTACACCAGTTCTGCAGTCGATCTCCCACTCGACTGCTGGCGGCGCCCACCAGTGGGGGTCGGTGCGAGGGGGGGTCTGGCTCCCGAGGAGGCGGTGAGGCTTATTGGAAGGGGGGGGAGGCCTCCAGCGGCAGCAGCCCGCCCCGCTCTCGTGGAGCCTCCCGAGAAGCCTCCTGGGCCCCCCAGGAGTATCGATGAGGGGGTCGACTGCAGAATGGAGTTGCCCCGAATTTGGTTCTGGCCGTAGAGTTCCTGCGAAACATGCGCAGGATGCTCCGCAGATCTACGAAGCAGTCTACGCATTCGTCCGTAGATTCGACGGAGAAATGAATTTTTGGGTAGTGCATCAAGTCTGTAGTCGATCCCCTGCTATACAGAAGGCCCCTGCTTTCTGAGGAGCCCCTCCGCCTTCTTGGAAGGTTGCCCCGCTCGCGCCACCCCCGTTCCCAGATCCCCGACGTCGTGATTTTTTGTTATAAGGTCGGCCCCCAAGCAAAGGTCTCGACCAATTCCCTGGGACCAGCTTTGCATCCTGAATCGTGGATTGATTGTCCCGAGGCCCGGGAAGGGCCCCCCGAGACCTACAGCGGCGAAAAACTTTCGGTCTTGACTTTTTCATGACTCGAGGGGTTCTGGGTGGTGGCCGCCGCCGGCCATCGCTACCCTCGCTCGCGGAGGGGCCGCCGTCCGCCTTCCGCACGGTGTCCGTGGTGCTCCCGTGCGCGGAAGAGCGGGAGCTCGCCATCAAGACGGCCTCCCGCTTCTGCGAGCGCACGCCAGAGGACTGGCTCGCTGAGATCGTTATCGTGGACGACGGCAGCCAGCCGCCGCTCGCAGAGCTCTTCGAGGAGAAGGAGTTCAACATGGAGAGGTTCGAGGAAGGGAGACCGCCATCAGCGCAAACTTTCGACGGTCCGCGCGGAGTTCTTGGATCGGCGCCTGGGCCCCCTTGGCGGCGCCTCCGGCGCCGTCACTATCACGCTCCGCGCGCCAGAGAGGGGGGTCCAGCGTGGATCCAAGAAATCTGTGCGCTTCGTCGAAAGTTTATGCTTGTGTCGTTTTTGTTCCTCTGGAGGTGCAAGATCAACATACTGCGGCACGAGGTCACGACCGGGCTCATGAACGCCAAGCAGACTGGCGGCAGAAACGCGAGGGGAGACGTGGTCGCTTTCTTCGACTGCCACGTCTCGCCGAAGCCCGGCTGGGCTGACGAGATCCTCGCCAAGATAAGACAGAATCCTCGCCGGATGGTGGTCCCTGCGATCACGGATCTGAGCTTGGACACCTTCGACGAGAAGGAGAACAGCGCCGTGAACGCCAAGTGCTACCTCACGTGGGACGCAGACTTCAAATGGTTCGATGACGAGTCGGACTACATTCCCACGATCAGTGGCGGACTGGTTGCCATGTCCCGATGGTGGTTTAATGTCACTGGCGGCTTCGACGACATAATGAGAGGCTGGGGAGGCGAGAATCTCGACCAGTCCCTGCGCAGCTGGCTGTGCGGTGGGGAGATCATGCGGGCCAAGACGAGCAGGGTTGCTCACATGTGGCGCACCGACGACTCTCGCACTCGGGCGCATTATCATAGCGCAATCAGCCACGTCGACAACCAAGCGCGCGTGGTTGCTGCGTGGTACGACGTCTTCGCGGAGAAGTATCCTGGCAGGAAGATCCAGCAGGCCGAGGTCAAGAACTATGAACCGGTGAAGCAGGCGCTGGGATGCAAGCCGTTCGCGTTCTTCCTCTGGCGGTTCCGCCACATCTACGTCGACGCGGGCGTCATCCCGGAGAAGATTTTCCACTTCAGGGAAATGCAGACCGGCCTGTGCCTTAACTTCGGTGGCGGTGTCTTGGCGTTGGAAAAGTGCGATCGGAGCAATAGCGACCAGGTGGTCCAGCTCGGAAACCGAGACCTCGAGGAGAAGGGGGGCAAGTGCTGCTCTGGAATCCGCCTGTTCGGGACCAACGATTGCTTGGACTACGTGGAGGACGGGGTTCCGCGGCCGTACTCCTGCGACGTGACCGGCAGGAACACCAACCAGCACTACCGTTGGCGGCCAGACGGGACCATCCAGAAGGGGCTGGGCAATGGCAAGAGGTGCTTCGGCAAGCCCGAGGCGGGCCTGTTGTCGCAGCGGGTGACCGTAGGCCCGTGCGGCCCCGCGGCTGCGGGGCAGTACGAGATGTGGGGCGGCAGGATTCCCCGCGAGCGCGAGCTCTACGAGTCCGAGGTCCGGCGGCTCGGCTACGACGAGCTCGACCTACCGGACAACTGAGGTCAGCCGGCCGCGCCGTCGCGACAGCGCCCTCCCCAGTGACATCTGGCGCCTCGAACACATCAGGAGGGAACTTTTTAATCGCTCTCGGCCTCCTTCGGGGCCCTACACTGGGCCTGTCACCTCGCGATTCGCGCCCGCACCGACTGGGAATGCGCAACATTGCATTCCCAGACAGCGCCGGCGCGAATCCTGACGTGACCAGGCGGGGCCGGTCACGGGTCTTATTGCGAATCATACAACAAGTGGCTCTTCTCGGGGCCGGCTGGGCAAGTGGGGGAAGCAGGCGCCCAGGAGGCGGACCGATGACCGAAGCCGCGATCGACGCCGCGCCGACATTGGCGCGTAAGCTGCTCGCGTAAGGTTGCGCGTAAGCGCCTTCGCTTCCAGCGTAGCGTACCGCGCTGGCGGCCCGCGTACGTAAGCCACCGCGTAAGGTTGCCATGCCATCTCGCATGAGGCCCATTTTTGATCGTCGCTCACATGGGGCGCCCCGCTGCTCTCCAGGCGCCGAAAGACGAGAAGGCCGAGGCAGAGCGGCGCTTCCTGGAGGTCACCTGGGCTTACGAGGAGGGGCTGCGGGGGGCCCGCGAGCCTGGGACGGGATGCGAAGTAGCAGGAGCAGGAGGAGGAGGAGGAGGAGGGAGGAGGAGGAGAGGAGGAGGAGGAGGAGGAGGAGGAGGAGGAGGAGGAGGAGGAGGAGAGGGGAGAGAGGACGGGATGTAATTTCTTCCTCCGCCTCCTCCTCTTTCTCCTCGCCCCCTCTCCCTCCTCTCCCCCTCCTCCTCCTCCTCCTCCTCCTCCTCCTCCTCCTCCTCCTCTTGGGAATGATTGTGTTCATGCCGAAGTTGTGGAGCAAATGCCGTGCCGTTCTCAGTGAATCTTGGTCGCAGGGTATGACTGATCATTGGGACACTGCGATTCGTGGATCTTCAGCATTGAGGGCAGGCCTGTTGAGAGCATGCTTGGATGAGACGAGTCTGGAGATCGGGGCCGCTTCATTGACGCTGCTGCTAGACATAGAGAAGTTCTACGATTCCGTGTCTCTTCTTATGTTGTTGCGCCTGGCCAGGCGAGTGGGATACCCAGCTGCATTGATTTCCCTGGAGGTCCAACTGTTTTTGGCGCCAAGATATCTGCAGGAGCGTTCGGTGCTGAGCATGGCCATCTATCCTTCACGTTCCTTGGTAGCGGGGTCCCCACGTGGGGTGGGCCTGGCGAAACTTTTTCTGCATCCGATCCTGGTCTATGTACATCGGCGTTCTCCCGCTTACTTGACCTGAAGGCAGGTCTAGAGGATCAGAGAATGGTGATTTCGTCCAAGACTGCTCCTGTTGGCTCGAACCCACGCATCACGCAACGGACTGCCAAGCTACTCCGTGCGCGAGGGCTACCAGTGAAGGCGGTCACGGACGCGGTGGACTTGGGGCTGGTTACGTCTGCAGGGAGGAAGCGCGCTGTCAGGAAGGCGGAGAAACGTTTACAAGGAGCCTTGCGACGAGCTAGCATAATCAGGAGGCTGCGGAGGATTGGGGCGTTGTCGAGGATTTCTCGTGGCTTCTGGAATGCGGGTGCGGTACCACAGGCGCTGTATGGTCATCAAGCTTTTGGTATGCGCAGACATGATCTGGTACAGTTGAGGCGACGGGCTGGACACATGGTCGGGGGTCGTGCAAGTGGACGCTGTTTAACTTTGACGCTTGCCTGCGATCCTGCTGTGCCAGACCCAGCGCTGGAGGTGCCTATGCAGGTCGTACGTGAGTGGGTCTCGTTGTGGCAACGGCATCCTGAGGTACATGACAGAGTGATTCGTGCGTGGTGCTCGGTTCGCAACGGATTGAGGACAGCAGGCACCAGAAGATGGACACAGGCTAACGGGCCGATAGCGGCGCTGCAGGCTACGTTGGTGGACATAGGCTGGGATTCAGTTTCTGCGACGTCGTGGTTGAGGCCCACGGAGAGCGATGAGGAGTTAGTTGACCAAGGGACCTACCTTCTCGACGCGACGACGGTTTCCCTCAGACGGCGTCCTTTCAAGCTTTGTTTGAGGATGCGGAGGCGGGTATTCGTGGTTTACTGTGGCGCGCCGCGGCTCAACACGTTGCGGGCCAGGACCTGTCTGGCGGCGCTGATTTGATTCAGATTGTGAGGGGCGGAAACGTTTTGAACGACAGGGAGCGAGAGACTTGGCTGCTACCAGCGTCACGGTGATCAGCGGTGGCCAGTGGACCAAGCAGAGAGCGGTCGACAACGTGTACCTGGTCGAAGCATCCTGTGGCCGCTGCGGGAAACGCCCAGGGTCTCTCTTCCATCGCATCTGGAGTTGTGAGAAGAATTGCAATCATGATGACTATGAGACAACGGACTGTTTGCTCCCGTTAGCCACATCGTCTCACGAAGCTGAGCCCTCTCTGTGGCTTCGGGGCCTCCCTCCCTTGCACCTCACCCACCCCGTTGTCGATGATGGGGGTGGTTCAAGGGCTCGAAGAGAGGCTTGGGGGCCCCGAGGAATTTTTGAGCTGCAGTTTTGAGGGAAGACACTCTGCTTTTGGCGATGGATCGGGAAGAAAACATAGTGAAGACCCCCGCCGTCGCCGTTGTGGAACCGCTATCACGGCGATCCATAATACAGTTTGTTCCAGGGGCTGCGCTCGCCAAGCCTCTCCCTGAGGACAAACAGACGGTTCCAAGGGCGGGAGGTTTTGGTTTTGTTCTGGCGCTCTTGGAGGTCCAGGCCCGTTTACGTTTGTGACTGACCACCTGCCCTTGTTTCGGACGTGGAGGTCTCGGTTGAGAGACCCCAGGCCCTGTGGGCCAAACGAGGACCTTTGGACCGAGGCGCGCCAGGCCTGGGGGCTCAGATCCGATCGTGAGCAGCCGCCGCTGATCTGGACCCCCTCGCATCTAGACGAATCCCCCGAGCTCCTGCTGACAGAGTGGGAGGTGTTGGTGGCCTGCGGTAATTGAACGGCTGATATGTGGGCGGGGCGGGCGGCGGAGTTGGCTGGGGAATTTGCCCTTGTGGGGTCGTGGCCTGATGTGGATCAGGTCGACGCCACCGCCGCGCTGATCCGCCGACGTGCCAGGCGGTCCTTGATTGATGCGGCTGCCGTTGAACCTTCGCAGCGTGCCGGTCGCCGAGAGAGGGTCGCCTGCCTGTCAACACATGAGAGAGGATGCTTCGGTCGTCGGCACACAAGCTGAAGAAATGCGGGGCGAAGTGGCTCTGCTTAGTCTGTGATGTGGTAGTTGCCGACGCCAGCATCAAGGTGTTTGCTGCGAGCCCGTGCGAAAGTGCCTCCCCCCTGGGAGTGGAGGCTTGTCCCGTGGCCCCGCAAGCCGCACGGGCTGCGGCTCCAGAGATCCACCCATCTCACAAGTGCATGTTCCTCCCGAGATGGTTTTCGACGGTTTGCATGTCTTGTGTCCGCTATGCGACGGTCGACCCCAGGGCTTAGAAGCCCCCATGCAATGGCCAGTCCCCCAAGGGGACGGACAATTTACGGCGCTTGGAGAAGGGGCTCTTTCCACGAAGAGATGGGCCCCAACGCCCGATTTCGTTGGCCATGGCGGAGCGGGACCAGCTGAGAGTCGTCGAGTCGTTCGAGGTCGTCTCGTCGAATGGTGGAAGGTCCCGCCCGCCGCAGGTCCCCTCCCTCCCCTCCCGACCTCCCAGAAGCGGAGGCCCAGGTGGCGATGCTGCCGCCCCCAGGTGAGACCCGCCATTGCGTGGGCAAGGACTTGGACGGCCCGCCTGGGAGGGAGAGGAAGGGGTTGAGGATGAGGAAGGGGCTTTTTGACCCCCTGTGGTTTTTCGGCCCCTAAGGGGCCGAGGACACTGGTCCGCCTTCAGCTACTCCCAGCTCCTCCTCCTCCTCCTCCTCCTCCTCCTCCTACCTCGGTTCCCCCTCGAGAGGGCGGGGGCCCGGGGCGGGGCCCGCCCAGACCCTGAGCGACCCGCAGAAACGTGCGGAGCACGACGCGCGGCCACCGCCCCGAGGCGGCGCGGCCACCGCCGCCGACCGACCGACTCGCAGACGACGGCGACGACGATGACGACGACGACGACGAATGACGACGACGAAGATGAAGGACGACGACGACGACAAAGACGACGGGTGTGATTGCGATGGCGACGGCGATGGCGATGCCGCCGGCGACTGCGATGGGGACAGCGAATGACGACGACGACGTGTCCCGCCCGACCGACTGACTCGTCGCCGTCGTCGTCGTCGTCGTCGTCGTCGTCGTCGTCGTCGTCGTCGTCGTCGTCGTCGTCGTAGTCGTCATCGTCGTCGTCTTCGTCGTCTTCGTCGTCGTTGTCGTCGTCGTCGTCGTTGTCGAGGGTATTGTTTCGTGGTCGTCGCCGTCGGCGTCGTGTCGTGGTCGGCTGCCACGTCGTCGCCGTCGTTGCTTTTTCATCCCCCCGTTCCGCCTTCTGTTTTTACATCTCCCTCCTCTATTCCATGCCCCCAAACAGTTCATGCCTGTAGGTGTGTCTTCCTTCTGCGCCAAGGAACTGGGCCTGTCTGCTGCTCCGGCGGCTCAGTTGCCGCCGTCGCCGCCCCGTCGCCGCCTCGTGGCCGCCCGTCGTCTGGGCCTGTCTGCCGGTCTGGTGGCTACACTGCCGCCGTCGCACCCTCGTTGCCGCCTCGTCGCCGCCCGTCGTTTGGGCCTGTCTGTCGGTCTGGCGGCTGTGTCGCCGCCGTCGCCGCCCCGTCGCCGCCTCGTCGCCGCCCGTCGTCTGGGCCTGTCTGTCGGTCTGGCGGCTATGCTGCCGCTGTCGCCGCCCCGTCGATTTCCCGACGTGTGTGTATATCTGTATGACACATCTTGGATAGCACGATATAGATTGCGCAGCATATATTGCATACCATATATTGCACAACATATATTGCGCCGCGTTGAGTGCACCACATATAGTGCCCCACATGTATTGCACCACATAGATCTCATAGCATGGATCGCACCACGTAGCCGTCGTTCGGGCCTGTCTGTCGGTCTGGCGGCTACGTAGCCGCCGTCGCCGCCCCGTCGCCGCCTCGTCGCCGCCCGTCGTCTGGGCCTGTCTGTCGGTCAGGCGGCTATGCTGCCGCTGTCGCCGCCCAGTCGAATTCCCAACGTGTGTGTATATATGTATGACACATCTTGGATAGCACAATATAGATTGCGCAGCATATATTCTCCTTTCTTAAAACAGAATAGGATCTGACTCTCCTCCCCCGAGTTATCGCTACCCCTTTCGGGTCTGTAAATCACATATGATTCTGACCACATGTCCATCCCAAATATGAATTTACACTATCCCAGGGGGGCCGGTATCGACCCCCCTGAGGTTCCCTTGAAAAAAACACACTATGCGGTGACATTTTTTGTTCTAGCAGCACTTTTTCACGAATCCCTTGCAAAACATGGGACGAAGTGCGCACGCGCGCGTCGTCGCGCCCGCATGCCGAAATCCTCCAAAATCTTTCGGTGCCGGAAAGATTTCGCAATCGAGCTTCCCGCAAACATGCAAAACCACAAGGTTTCGTAACACTGATTTGCTAAAAAAGCTTACGCGCGAGCTCTTGCGAAATCTAAAGAAAACCATAGGTTCATCCAGATTTTTTCAAAATGCTATTAAACGGGCTTCGCGCGCGTATGTCGAAATCTGTTGAACGCCCTTGCGCGTGTGCCGTCGCGAGTATCCTCTGCAAAAAATGGGACGAAGTGCAGACGCGCGAGTCGTCGCGCGCGTATGCCGAAAACCTTCAAAACCCATCAGTTTCGGAAGGATCTCAAAATTGCGCTTCCCAAAAACCTACTAAAACACAAGGTTTCGCAACACGGATTTTCAACAAAAGCGTGCGCGCGCGCGCTCTTGCGTCGTCGTCGTCGTCGTCGTCGCCGTCCTCCCTCCTCCCGCGTCATCGTCGTCGTCGTCGTCGTCGCCTACGTCGTCCTCTGTCTTTCCTCGTGTTCGTCCTCGTCGTCCTCTTTGGCGTCGTGGTCGTTTCCGTCGTCGTTGTCGCCCTGGTCGTCCTTCCTCCTCCTCCCTCGTCGTCGTCGTCGGCGTCTCGTCGTCGTCCCTCCTATTTCGTCGCCGTCGTCGTCGTCGTCGTTGTCGTCGTCGTCTTCCCTCCTCCCTCGTCGTTGTCGTCGTCGGCGTCGCCGTCCTTCCTTCTTCTTCGTCGTTCGCGTCGTCGCCGTCCTCCCTCCTCCCTCGTTGTCGTCATTGTCGTCGTTGTCGTCGTTGTCGCCGTCGTCGTCCTCCCTCCTCCCTCGTCGTCGTCTTCGTTGGCGACGTCGTCGTCGTCTTCGTCGTCGTCGTCGTCGGCGTCGTCGTCTTCGTCGTCGCCGACGTCTGCGTCGTCGTCGTCGTCGTCGAAGTCGTTGGAGACGTCGTCGTCGTTGTCGTCGTCGTCGGCGTCGTTGACGTCGTCGTCGTCGTCGGTGTCGTCGTTGTCGTCGTCGTCGGCGTCGTCATCGTCGTCATCGTGGGTTTTGCACACCAATTTGCGGGTGGGTGGGTGGGATGTTTGCAGGAGCGCGGGATGTGTCAACTCGTTTGTTAAAATAAATTGCATACCATGAATTGCACAACATGTTTTGGGCCGCATTGAGTGCACCACATATAGTGCCCCGCATGTATTCTCCTTTCTAAAAAGAAAATAGACTCTACCCCCCCTGGCGTTATCGCCCCCCCCTTTCGGGTATGTAAATCATATATGATTCTGACCACATGTCCATCCTAAATCTGAATTTGCACTATCCCAGGGGGGCCGGTATCGACCCCTCTGAGGTTCCCTTGCAAAAAAACAATACGCGGGGACATCTTTTGTTCTAACGTAGCACTTTTTCACGAATCCCTTGCAAAACATGGGACGAAGTGCACACGCGCGCGCCGTCGCGCGCGCATGCTGAAATCCTCCAAAAACCTCCGGTGTCGGAAGGATTTCGCAATCGAATTTCCAAAAAACCTATGAAAACACAGGGTTTCGCAACACTGATTTGATAAAAAGCTTACGCGCGAGCTCTTGTGGAATCTTAAGAAAACCATAGGTTTATCAAGATTTTTTCAAAATGCTACCAAACGGGCTTCGGGTGCGCGCATGTCGAAATCTGTCGAACGCCCTTGCGCGTGTACCGTCGCGAGAATCCTCTGCAAAAAATGGGACGAAGTGCAGACGCGCGCGTCGTCGCGCGCGTATGCCGAAATCCTTCAAAACCCATCGGTTTCGGAAGGGTTTCAAAATCGTGTGTCCAAAAAACCTACAAACAATACAAGGTTTCGCAACACGGATTTTCAACAAAAGCGTGCGCGCGCGCTCTTGCGTCGTCGTCGTCGTCGTCGCCGTCCTTCCTCCTCCCGCGTCGTCGTCGTCGTCGTCGTCGCCTACGTCGTCCTCTGTCTTTCCTCGTTGTCGTCGTCGTCGTCCTCTTTGGCGTCGTGGTCGTTTCCGTCGTCGTTGTCGCCGTGGTCGTCCTTCCTCCTCCTCCCTCGTCGTCGTCGTCGTCCGTCGTCGGCGTCTCGTCGTCATCCCTCCTATTTCGTCGCCGTCGTCGTCGTCGTCGTCGTCGTCTTCCCTCCTCCCTCGTCGTTGTCGTCGTCGGCGTCACCGTCCTCCCTCCTTCTTCGTCGTTCGCGTCGTCACCGTCCTCCCTCCTCCCTCGTTGTTGTCGTCGTTGTCGCCGTCGTCGTCCTCCCTCCTCCCTCGTCGTCGTCATCGTCTTCGTTGGCGGCGTCGTTGTCGTCGTCGTCGTTGTCTTCGTCGTCGTCGGCGTCGGCGTCGTCGTCGTCGGCGTCGTCGTCGTCGTCGTCGGCGTTGTCATCGTCGTCGTCGTCGGCGTCATCGTCGTCGTCGGTGTCGTCGTCGTCGTCGTCGTCGTTGTCGTCGTCGAAGTCGTCGGAGACGTCGTCGTTGTCGTCGTAGTCGGTGTCGGCGGCGCCGTCGTCGTCGTTGTCGCTGTCGTCGTCGGCGTCGGTGTCGTGGCCAAGTGCCATGTGGTACCTACCGTCACGGTCTTGTCTTAAGAGGTCTTGCGACCAAGTTGGGTGGGAGGATAGGATGTTTGCACGAGCAGTGGCGAGGACAGCTTCAAGACGGTCAAAGTGGATTGCACCACATAGATCTCATAGCATGGATCGCACCACATAGGTTTGGTCCACATATCTTGCACAACATCTATTGCACCACAGATATTGCACCACAGATACTGCACCACGCCCGCACGTACTGCACAACATAGATTGCGCAGCACTTAGTGCACCACGTGCATTGCATCACATAGATTGCGCCTCATATATTGTACCACATACCTTGCTCCACATTGAGTGCATCGCATAGGTTGCACCACATGTATTGCACAGCATATGTCGCAGAACGTAATTTGCACAACGTAGACTGCACAACCTGATTGCACCACGTAAGTCCCACCACATACAGTGCTCTACATCGGTTGCACCACATCGTTTGCACCACATCTATGCACCATATATCTATTGCTAGGGACGCACTGTTTGGGGTCCATGCTGGCGAACATCTTCTTTGACGATGCAGGGGCTCCTGGTCGGATGATGGTCGCCGCGTGTCGGCGGGAAAGCAACAAGAGAAGACCGACTTGGGTGATGTGGCCTCAAGGCGCTGCCATTCGCATCGTGCGGGCCACGCTCACGTTTTCGTCGACCTTGTGATTGCGTGTGTGCGCGCGCGTGTGTGTGTGTGCGTGTGTGTGTGTGTGTTTGTGTGTGTGTGTGCGCGTGCGTGCGTGTGTTGGTTTGTTGGTTTGCAATCGCAGCTGACGTGCCCCGTTGGTTTAAGGCCCTGCGATGGCCCGTCGCCGCGGAGGAGTGGAAACTGACTGTGTGTGTATGTGTGTGTTTGTGTGTGTGTGTGTGTGTGTTTGTGTTTGTGTTCGTGTTCGTGTTTGTGTTTGTGTGTGTGTGTGTGTGTCTGTGTCTGTGTCTGTGTCTGTGTCTGTGTCTGTGTCTGTGTCCGTCTGTCCGTCCGTGCGTGCGGGCGTGTGCTCGTAGTTTGTTTTGGGCCAAAGCTGTGGTGGCCTCGGCCCTCGAGGGCGGCGCCATGGGCCGCTGGGGTCGCCCGGTGCAGGCGCGGCTCGCCCTGCAGCAACCTAGCGCATGGCCCGCCCAAGGATCCAGGAGGCGCTGGGCGTGTCGGGCGCGTAGAAGGCCATGGTCAGGAGCGTTCGCAGCCTTCCGGAGGTGGTGCGTGTCCCCTGGTGCTCCCGGTGGTGGCTCTCCAGGGGCGCAGCTGTGCCATCTTCGCCGCCCAGGTCTGCTGCTAGAGCACAGCTGGGCTCTGCGTCGGTGCTGCTTGAGCCAGAGGAGGAGGAGGAGGCGGAGGAGGAGGAGAAGGAGGAGGAGGAAGAGGACGAGGTGGGGGACAATGGTGTGTGGGGGCGTAGCCCCATCTTGCCCGACCGGGTGATCCGTTGACAAAGGCTCGATGGGGCCACCGATCCGGGCGATCCGCCGCCGTCAAGCGTCGCGACGCCTCGCGCGCTCTGGGCGGACTGGGCCAGCCGGATCACGATCGGGATTGGGTCGCCACCGCCCAGGCATACTGATACTATGTGCGCGTGGGCCCCGCAAGGGCGACGCGCACGCCACGACATCTTATAGTATCAGCTCCGTGGCGGCGCTTTCTGGCCACACCCCCTGGGAATCGATCTGCCATAAGACTTGTGCACTGTACGGTCGTGTCGGACGTGCGCCTCCAACATCAGCACACGCAGCCGAACATATGATCAAGAAACTTACCGTTCCAGGAACCTGGGCCAGCTTCCCGGAAGTCTCTCAAAACAAGCCCGCGCCAATCTCTGTTGTTGACGCTGGCGGGGACGAACGTGCTCCGGAAGCCGGGCCAGCTCTCTGGCCAGCTGGTCAAGAAGCGCCGGCCCAGCTTTTCGGGAGGAGGTCTCCCGATCAAATGCTCGACTGCAGTGCACGTACGTCCTTCTGCGTCCTGTTGGGATCGGGCCGTCGATCGGCGCGGGCCGAGGGGTGCCTCCGCGAGCCGAGGCCGGGCGCCGTCCGCGAGGGCCTCGCAGAGCGCCCGCGCTTGCCAGGGGCGCCCGCTTCGCCCAACACGGTGATGGCGAGGAGCTCGCGGACCAGCACCGCGGCGCCCCCGGCGGGCAGGCTGGGCTGCTGCGTCAGGGCCGTCGTCCCTTTCAGACGGGGGCTGCAGAAGGTGCCCTTGGCCCAAGGTTTGGGGGAGGACCAGGTACGTACCCATACCGCTCCCTTCCCCTCGTTCTCCATTTCTTCGGCCTCCTGGGAGGCCTTCGTCGCCACCGCTGGATTCGTCTCGGAATTCTGATCAGAACGCACCCTGGGAGAGGTCTGGGGAGCTGCGGGCGAAGCCTCTGGGGCCCTCCAGGCCTCGTGAGGGGTGCTCGGAGGCACTCGTGGGGGCCTCGTGGGGGGCCTCGCGTGGGCCTCCTTCGGAAATCCGGGGGGCACCTTGGGCCAGGGGCACTTCCAGCAGCACCCCATCCATCTCCGGGGCGTTCTCGCTGCAGTGGTGCCTTTGGAGGAGGCAGGGCGCGCCTGGGCTTGCTGCCGTCGGCAAGGATGCGGGCGCCCCCGATGGCTTCCAGCCGCCCACAGCTGCGACGGATTCCGCCGGGGCCCTGGGGGTTGTTGCTGCACTGTCTACCCGGCCTGCCCCGACGACTTCGACGCTGCATTACGAGAGCGAGGAGGATTGCCCGCCGCCGAAGGTGGCGTTCGTCGTGCCGTTTTACAGCGAGACAGAAAGCGAGCTGCGCGTCACGCTCGAGAGCATCACTGGCCAGAAGCGCTTCATGATGCCCGTCGTGATCGTCGTGAGCGACGATGGCGGACCTGCGCCAGAGAGGCCGCAGGCAGCGATCGCGCGACTGTGGAGGTTCGGCCCCCCTCGCCAGTGCATCTCCGCGGTGCTGATACGCGGGCCGAATGGTGGCCTCGCCGTGGCCCGGAACCGTGCCATTGCATCCTTGCCACCCCAGGTGGAGTGGATCTTGAATGTGGACACTGGCGACAAGCTGGATCGGAGGTTCCTGGACCTGGGCTTCCGGGTCGCGGACGCCCGCCCCGACGTGCACGTGGTCCATCCGCATCTGTGCTATCCGGACGGGAACTGGGACCCGCCCAACCTGCATGTGGCGACGGACCCGCTTCACAAGAAGAACCTGATGCACTGCTGTCCAATGTTCCAGAGGTCGGTGTGGGAGAAGGCGGGCGGCTACGACGCCTCCTTCCGCTTCGGCTGGGAAGACTGGGACTTCTGGGTGCGCGCGAACATGACTGTCGGGTTGCATGTGGTGAACCTGAAAGAGAGGTGCCTGTACTCCTACTCGCCCGGCGGGCTGCACCAGCTGTGCCAGGTCTCGGAGCTACCTTCGTCATAGTTTGCTTTCCCAGAGCCTGCCACATCGTAAGAGTGTTATTCATTGTAAGTGTATGGCGTAATTATCAATCCTTTGTGTTATCTAAAAGGCTTTGCCCTTTGCCGCGGGTCTGCCACTGATGGCTTCGTGGCTTGGCTGGGGGCCACCGTGTTTGTGCTGGAGGCGTGGGCAGTCAGAGCGTGTCGTCATTTTCTGGGTGTCTGGTCACGTGTCGCAGCTGGTGGATTCGTGACCTGGGGACCGTCAAGTTGGAAAAGCACGCGGGCTTTCTTAGAGACATTATGTGGCCGACTTGGGGAACTGTAGAATGTCTCCGAATTCGGCCTTTTTTGAAGATAGCGGCACTTAGCGGCACGAACGCTTGCGGTCTCGATGGGGCCGGCGGTCTCATTCACGCGCCCGCGGTTTCACGGAAGGCGGCGACTCCGAGCCTTGATTTACATGTCCGTGGCCCGTGGCTCAGATGGGGCTACACGGCCATTAAGTGCCACTAAATGGTAATTCTCGGAACTACTAGCAACCATTAATTGCCACTACATGGTAATTTTCGGAGCCAAGTGCCATTAACTGGTAGATCTCGGGCTACTATATGCCGCTTAACGGTATTTCAATTCTTGGAGCCACTAACGGCCACCGGGTGCCACTAAATGGTTTTTCTCGGAGCCAGTAGCGGCCGCTAGGTGCCACCACTAAATGGTAATTTTCGGAGCCACTAAGTGCCATTAAACGGCCGCTGCAGGCCGCTGAGCGGCCACTGAGTGCCTCTAAATGGTAATTCTCGGCCGTCGCGATGGTCAGTCCGAAGTTACCCAGAGAGCCCACATAAGAGACATCCTGGGCTATTTCAGAATTTTTCTCCCTCCTTCTAGTCTTTGCTCAAGGGTCCCTGCTTGTTCTGCGCGAGAGAGTGCCCTGGCCGAGTCTCCCAGGTCCTCCCTTTTTCCCAGGGTTCCCCAGGGGTTCACGGTTTTTCTTGTGGGATCTTTGGATTTCTTGAATTTCTTTGATCCTTTGAATTGCTCTGCGTTGCATCACATTTGCATTCCTTTGAACTTCAATGCGTTGGGCTGCATTGGGCTGAATTAGCATTCTTTACGCAGGCGTCGCATTGCTTTACTGCTTCTCTTTGCCCTGCACAGTCTGTCATTTGTTCCCGTGCTCCTTTTTTTGCTTTGAGTTACCTTGTATTGTGTAGCATTGCCATTGCATGCTCTTTGCATTGCGTCGGTCTGCGTTGATCTGCTGTGCCTGGATTGTAATTGCATTGCATTGTGTGTTTTGTTATGCTTTGCTTTTCGTGACGCTGCATTGCGTTTCATGATAATTTCACAACGCTGGCTTGTATTGTATTGCGTTGCGTTGCATTGTTTTGTCAGCCACCCGTGTTTTTAAGTTTGTGCCGCAGGCAACCCGCGCGCGTCGCCAGGACTCCTTCGGAGCGACCGGCCCGTGTCGCGGGGACTCCGTAATGCGCGGTGCCCAGAGCCGTGGTCACCGGGGCGCAAGAACAAAGAGGGGAGAAAGCTAAGAGAAGGAACTGGGCACAAAACGGCGGGGCCCGGGGCTCGGGCCATCGTTGGCCAGGCGGGAAGAAACGCAACGCCGCACACTGGAGACAAGGAGAGGAGCGAAAGAGCTGAGAAGGAAGTGGGCACGAAATGGCGGCGTTCGGGGCTCGCGCCAAGCATTACATTCCCCCACGAGGCCAACGACTTTCGTCTCCCAGTCAACGCCGCAGTCCTTTTGCTGGTAACGTTTTCTATCGGTCTCACTATCGATCTCACTATCGATCTCGTTATCGATCTCACTATCGATTTCACTATTATTTTACTAGGCCTCACTCTCGATCCCACTGTCGATCCCATTTTTGATCTCACTCTCGATCCCATTATCGATCTCGCTATCGATCATAGTTCTCATTATTCATTTCATGATTTCTCTCATGATTGTTTCCACAATCGATCTCGCTCGATCGATCTCACTGACCTCCCCACACTCGATTCCATAATCGCTTCCACAATTGATCTCAAAATCGGCCTCATTCATTTGTTCATTCTCGATTTCACCACGGTCCCACGATGCATCTCACTATCGGCTTTTACAGTCGATCTCATTCTCGATCCCACTATCGATCTCACTATCGATCGGATGTGATGGGGGTGAGATTGCAGTGAGGCGGAGTGCCCCCCGCTGGGAAATCGGTTTCAGTTTCGGCTTCGTGTCGTGCATGCGGGCGAGGCGTAGGTGCGTGGAAGGGCGAGAGGAATGAACCCTCCTCTGGCTAGGGCGCGGCGAGGTCTCAACTCCGCCCCCCCTGGCCGCGTGGCGGGCGGGTGCCGGGGGTTCCCGCCGTGGTGTCCCGATGGTGTCCTGTGGGGTCTTGTGGTGTCCCGTGGTGTCCCGCGGTGTCTCGATTGGTGTCCCGATGGTGTTTCGATGATGTGTTGATGGTGTCCCGCAATGTCCTGCCGCGGTGTCCCGCCGTGGTGTCCCGATGGTGTCCTGTGGTGTCCCGTGGTGTCCCGGTGGTGTCCCGCAGTGGCCCGCGGCGTCCCGTGGTGTAACGTGATTGTGTCCCGTGGTGTCTGGTGGTGTCCCGTGGTGTCTCGCGGTGTTCCGCCGTTTTGTCCCGACGGTGTCCCGTGGTGTCCGTGGTGTCCCGCGGTGTCCCGCGGTGTCCCGCGGTGTCCCGTGGTGTCTCGTAGTGTCCTGTGAGATCGATCGTGAGATCGATAATGAGACCGACTATGATATCGATCGTGATGTCGATCGTAAGATCGATCGTGAGATCGCTGATGAGAGGACTCGCGGGATCGATAGTGAGAAGGATTGTGAGATCGATCGTGGGATCGATAGTGATATCGATCGTGGGATCGGTAGTGAGATCGATCGTGAGATCGATCGTGGGCTCGATAGTGAGAATCGACAGGGGTCGGTTGTGGGATCGATAGTGATATCGATCGTGAGATGGATCATGAGACCGATAGTGAGACCGATAGTGAGACCGATGGTGGGGTCGATAGGGAGATCGATAGTGAGATCGATAGTGAGATCGATCGCGAGACCGACAGTAAGATCGATAGTGATATCGATAGTGGCGTCGTTTGTGAGGCCTGGTTGTGAGATCGATAGTGGGATCGTGAGATCGACTGCGAGATCGATAGTGAGATCGACTGTTCGATTGAAAGTGATATCGATCGTGCGACCGATAATGACATCGATAGGTGCGAACGATTCAGTTCCACCCAGACCTCTTTATCATCCGAAGGGTTGTCATGTAGGTATCAGTACCACTGTGGATGTTATTGTCGATTTCGTTGTCGATCTTATGATCGACCTCACTATCGATCTCATTCTATCTGATTGAAGAGCGATTTAACTATTGATCTCACTACGGTGTACCGACGGGACACCGACGGGACACCGGCGGGACAACCGCGGGACAACCCGAGGGGGCAGTCTTTTGGCCTGGCGGCGCCCTAGCCAGACGCTCCTCTCGCCCGCCCACACAGCTTCGCGTCGCCCAGACGCACGACACGAACACGAAGCCGAAACCGATTTCCCAGTGCGGGGCTTTCCATTTCTCTGCGACCTCACCCCTTCGCCTCCGATTTCAACCATCCTGTGGTGTGACAGCGCCCCACGTCACTCCTTCCTTCCTCCTTGCTCCTCCCGCTCCTCCCTCCTCCCACCCCTGCCTCTGCCCTCCTCATGTTTCTGTTTCGGCACGGCCCTCACACGTTTCGTGGCCCTGATAGGGAGCGCCGCCGAAGGTCCCAGTGGGAAGGTCTGCCCATCTCGGCACACCCGTCACACGTCTCGTGGCCCCATAGGGAGCTCCACTGAAGGCCCCAGTGGGCGGATCCACACGCGGCTCCCCGCCCACCTCGGCTCACCCCTCAGAGCTCCACCGAAGGCCCCAGTCAGTGGGAGGGTCCACATGCGGCTCCCCGCCCATTTCGGCATACCCCTCACACGTTGCGTGGCCCAGTCGGGAGAGGGAGCTCCACCGAAGGCCCCAGTGGGAGGGTCCACGTGCGCCTCCCCGCATGTCGGCTCACCACTCACACGTTTCGCGTCCCCATCGGGAGCTCCACCGAAGGTCTCAGTGGGAGGGTCCGCATGCGGCTTTCCGCCCATTTCGGCACACCCCTCACACGTTGCGTGGCCCCATCGGGAACTCCACCTAAGGCCCCAGTGGGAGGATCCACATATGGTTCTCCGCTCATTTCGGCACACCCCTCACACGTTGTAGCACCGCGAACATTCGTCTTGAACATTTGCCAGAGTTTCACGGATGGATGGCGGGTCGTTTTCAAAATGTGGCTCTCGTTTGATCGCCGCGCACATCCTTTTTCAACGTTTGCAAGAGGTTCGCAGATGGAGAGCGGTTTCTTTTCAACATGTGGTTCTCGTCTTAGCGCCGCGCACCTTCGTCTGAAGAGTTGGCCGCACTTTCAAGGATTGCCATGGTTGACGTGGCAGATTTTGTGTGTTGGCACCATGTCGGAATGTTAGGACGCAACCGTCACATTGATTCGCGGTGCTGAAGCCCCAGGAATGGTGTTCTGGTACGATTTAGGATCGTCAGGACAACAAAACGGTGATTCGCGGCGTTGAAGTCCCAGGAGTGATGCTCTGGCACATTTCCGGATGTTCAAACGGTTGTCTTCCAACGGGGCATTTGCCTCAATGAAATTGAACCCTTGTATGGGGCCTGTGAAGAGGGAGCTTGGAATGAGGGTTTATTGCAATCTCGCTGATGAGACTTGGGTCCTCCTCCTCCTCCTCCTCCTCCTCCTTCTCCGCCTCCTACTGCACTTCCTCCTTCCCTCCCGGTGCCCTCCTCCTCCATCACTCTTCCTCCCCCATCCTTTCCCTCACCCACGACACTGGTGGGACTGATGGAATGGAAAAGGCACGTCCCCTGACAAGTAACACGGTTGGTGCGTATGCCTGCCGCGGTCTCGCGCGGCCTCCGTGGAGGGGCAGACGACAT